CAAATACGGATTACAACAACATTTAGCGCCTTGCAGTTAGAGCCGGGCACCTACAATAGATTCTCATGACTTGTATTTTTACTAATTTTGGATGAAGTGAATGATGAAATATGCCTCTGAGTCGTGCGCACTACATGATAGCAGACCACCCAATGCTTTGTCTTCTGTCCGAGTCATCACTATTGCAAGTGTTGTTATCACGGTGGCTAGGTGCACGATTAGCAGAAGCCGCTCGCGTGAACCCCTAAAAACACACACGAACGAAAAGCGAAGCACGAGAAAAACGGAAGTAGAAGACGAAGCCGAGACACAGTGTGCGTGTAGATCAGGAGAGCATCGGCGCTCTGTAGCAAGCTCGGTGTTGTTAATCCTTTTCTACGGACGGACGGGGACGAGACCCCGAAGACCGAGACGAGGCCGCCTCTTGGCCTCGAACGGTCACTCACTGGCCAACTACTGACACCCTTTGCTCACTCGTGCTTACACTCATTTGCTTGGATCTAGTAGCATTTTCCAAATTTCTGAACCTTCAAGGACATTTTGACACGTTTTCAAAAAAATCTACCATGTTTAGGTAATGATCGCAGCCTTTCTTCTATTGCCGTTAGTCCTTAGCCAGTCGATCCAGAATATTAGTGTAGGATTCCCAAATGCTTGGGATGGGGACAGATTTCGTGAGCTCTACTGCCCTAGCAGAAATATCCCGAAATTTCTAGGCAAGTTCTTCTTGCTCCTTGAACTACAGTATTCCCACAGTATTGTTACAATTCTTTCCAGATGGTTACTTTCTCTGTCAATTATCAGCTTCCTATGGTGACATAAATGCTCCTCCAGGCAAAAAACTCAATCATATGATCGATGCAATAGGAGCTTTGGGATCTTTTCACATTAGCAATGGACAAGTGAATTTATGAATACTAGAAATTCCTCAGAATTCAATATAAAGTTCAGGTCATATTTTCGTCTCAATACTATCCTTCACAACCTTATAAAATATGGGAGTTTTATGACCGTAACATGACGAAGTCCGGGGTGCCATGGGCTGGATGGTCCGACTACAATTTGACTTCTATGGCTAAATGGGAACAGGTGAGATTTTTGTAAAATATTGAGTTGAATATGTATGGAAGTTTCAGATCCCTCCTAATCCTGACTCTGCCCGATTTCATCCAAATCTCGATTTTTGGAAAATTGGAAACAAAATTTTGGCAGGAACTGAGGCACCTTATTGGATCGGATATGAATTTGATGTATGGAGCAAATTTAAAAGTTCTCTATTGATAAGAATTAAAATTTTCGCTTTCAGGTGCGAAGCTTAAACAAGTTCAAGCTTTTTGAGTTTACCGAAGATAATAACATATTCTCTGCTCCTCGTCCTTCTATGATACCCATTTCCATGGCTATTCATGAGAGAAGTGATCCAGATGGTACCATTTGGGGTTCATTTTCAGCTATGAATTTTGAGGAACAGCGATTTTATCAGGTTTGTTCTGCTTCAATTTTCATACGTGAAATATGATTCGCAAATCATTCATGGCTTGGTAATCAAATTGTAAACGTTTCTGTCAGTGCTGTTTCTTAGATTTCTTACACAATTTCAAAAAGAGCAATTTATTGGAGACTTTTTTGAATTTTTTACTGCCTTCTGTTTTTCTTCGAAGTACTATGTTGTTCAGGGTATTTTCACCATAAACAGCAAAGGTGTCCGAAAAGTAGTTGGTATGTTTGACTACGGTATTTGGGATCCGAAAGCGTGTGGAAGAAATGACGAATATATTGGTGAGTTTTGTGTTCCAACTAAATTATGCATATGGTCACGATTTAAGAACACGATAGCATAATTTATCTTCATGATTTCTGAAATAGTTGATGGAAATTAGTCAATTTTTACTTATTTTGATGAAAGTTTTGAAAGATTCATATTTCCTAATTATTTTTTTCTGATGAGTAGTGATGAAAAACACAAATATTTTTTACTCATTTCGGAATCGTTATCGAATTCTTCGTTTCGAAAATCATAGCTAGACCTAAGCGCTCCTCGGGGAGTTGTGTTGGTCATCGTGTGGTTCGAAGCAATGCACGTTTATCGGATGGACAAATACAGAGGCCCTTCCAATATAATCTCACGTGCAAACTTTTCTATAGAAAAAGTTCATAATTACCGTTAGCACGCGATACACTTTGAGCATGCTACGTAATTGACACGTGTTTTTGCGAGTTTGACAAAAAAATTTAGGTAAATATTTGGCTTTTAGTTACATTCACGAAAAGTTCACTGCTGAGCTAATTTTTCGGACTTTTGTATACTCTAGGCCATGATGATAAAAAAGGCACTTCTGGAAAACACCTATAGCAGTCGAGAAGATAAAAATTCCATAGATCAATGTACAGCCGTGTCATCTGTGACTTGTGTAGCTGAACAACAGGCGCGATATTTTACGACTTCTGTACTTACAGTTCACCTACAACTGCAGTAATTGCCAGTTCTTAGAAACTTCTCATTTTCTTCTTTTTATC